CATAACGGTTGTTTGTAACAGCCAAAACGAATCGAGATAGATATAGACAAATGTATACACAAATGCTCAGAATGAAAAGAGAAATCGATTAAGCGGCGACTGTCTGTCCGCCCGTCTGTGTACGCGATAACTCCAGTATTTGAGATATCTTAACGAATCTTGGTATGTCAACTTCTTTTCAGCGTGGAACGGATGATACTTAAAATGGGCAAAATGGGAAAATAACCACGCCTACATCCCATATAACGGTAGTTTTCAGAAATACGAAATTTGCGATGTCTTAGAAAATACTGAAGCTCATTCACTCAAAACTGAAAAATAAGAATATTATACATTTTTGGAAAATGGGCGTAGCCACGCCCATTTATGATTGCATGTGTATAACTTGGTAACCGCTTAACCAATTTCTCCCAAACTCGTCACAGTTGCTGGTATTAATAAAACATACCAGATGACTGAAAATTTTTAAAATCGGACAACAACCACGCCTACTCGGTCGTAACTGATTGACCACTTACTGTATACAGTGGCGCTCACGTAAATAGCACACTTTTATTTTTTACAATATCCACAATAGGGGTGTTCTCGATCCGATGCATACTGTCTAGCATGGTGCATAGATAACATAAATAACATGATTGGATAATTTTGTTGTTGTACAAACAAATGAAAACACAATAGGGGTTGTCTCGATCCGGTGCATACTGCCTAGCATGGAGGATAGATAGCATAAACAGCATGATTGTTGTTGTTTCATGTGTTCAAACAACAACAAAATTAGCCAATCATGCTATTTATCCTCCATGCTAGGCAGTATGCACCTGATCGAGAATACCCCTAATAAAATTATGCTATTTATGCACCATGCTAGACAGATGTAGCAGATCGAGAATACCCCTAATGTTTTTCGTGATACATTTTTTCCTTAATAATATATATAAATATAGTATATTCTATACCATAACCCTATAAGTCAAAGTTTAAAACTTTGTGCACATTTCACGAAAATTTAACAAATTTCAAAAAAA